AGAAATTTATTTAAATTGTTGAAAATAATTTAATTGTTTTGAAGAAAAGTTTATTTATTTCTACTAAATGTATTAAAATTGTATTAATATTTTAAAATAATTGAATTCTTTCGAACAATTCATATAAGAATTTTTAAATAATTGAATCATTTGGGAAAAAGTTATAGGTATATTAATAATAGTAATTCAATTTCTTTTGCAATTTCTTAAATTTCTGACAATAATTGAATTCTTGCGAACAATTTTAGTAAAATTTTGAAAATAATAGATCCAATTAACTTGAAAAAAAAATAATTTTAATTTTTCGTTTTTTTTCATGTTTTATTCCAAAAAATTTGGAAAAAATTTGGTACTAAACTAAAAATTTATAATTACAGTATGAATGAATGCAAGTTCTGAGTGATAATTATACTAGGAGTGTATATGTATTGTTATGGGTGGAATAATTGAAAGATAGAAATCTGGCGGTACCATGAGCGATTCGAAGTATTCTATGAAAGTATCGTCACCAGATTTAGAAAAAAGCCAATGGCCCTTTCGCTGTTATATATATTTTTTTCTCGCTCAGACAACACTAATAAATATTGAGTAATAGTAAATGAAATTCTTTTCAAGGTTCGTTCACAATTTGATAACAACACGGTGTGTTTGTCTATTTTCCAATTTCAATCTTCGTGCTCCAATTGTTCCACTAAAATTCTTTTCGGAGAAAAGAAAACAAATTCTCACAGTCTCTAAAATATTTTTCGAACAAGAAAATTTCCATACGTGTATCGAAAAAAATATACTGGTAACTTTTATGATTTATTTACTCTTTAGTATTTTTTATTTATTGTTTACTATTTATTTACTCTTTAGTATTTTTTATTTATTGTTTACTATTTATTTACTCTTTAGTATTTTTTATTTATTATTTACTATTTACTATTTCTATATTTACCATACCCTCTTTCTTTACTATTTACTATTTTACTTTTATTTATTATTTACTATTTACAATTTTATTTTCATTCGTCATTTACTACTTATAAAGTAAAAAAATTGAAGAACCTGAAAATATTTGAGTCAAATAATATTTATTTAATTCAAATAAAACATTTTTCTCGAAATAAGTTTTTTTAAATTTACTCCAAAAATAATAAAAGTTCTAAAAAAGAGCTTAAAAAACAGAGTGAACTTTTCTTTATAAATAATAATTTTAGATTAAAAAAAAAATTTACTTGGTTCAGAGACAAAATTTTATTAACTCAAAATTTTAATTAAAAATTTTCTCCTGATGAATAATAATTGCAGATACTAAAATACAAGCTAATAATAACAAAACAAAGTTGCAGTAATTGTAATGTAATAGCATTTCATAGTACACGGATTTTTTAAAGTTCAAGCCGGTTTTATTACACCGCAGAGTGATTAAATAATAATATTACCTTCACGTATGTATCCATACGCACACAGTAGGCATTTTCAAATGTCGCTTCTTTGAAACAAATTTTGTAACCATCTTCTTCTCTTTATATGTAATAGATTCTATTTTCTATATTCATTTTCTTGGGAAATTTCAAAAATAGTAGCCATTTCTTTAATAAATTTCCTTCACACACACACACACACAGGATGTTTAATTTTATTTCAAAAAGATAGATGTTTTATTTAAAAAAAAAATTGCATAAGCAACGTAAAGTTTATTTTTTCAAATATCATCAATATTTTACTTTCTCCAATGCGGGAAATAAATAAGTTTTCCTATATTGCAATCCAATAAATATATTAAATAACTCCCTACTGGAATTAAATTGTACTCACTTTTTCTATTATATTTTTTACATTTATATGGAAAATCAGTACTTTTAATAAATTTCAAAAAAGGGAAGTATAAATAATTGTCTGAATTTACTATAACTAGGGAAATAAAAAAAAAATTTTTAAATTAAAAAAAATTACTATTTATAGTAGAAAAATGTTTCAAATATTAATATTTAGGAAAATTGCAATTTTTAACCAATTTTCAGCAAAAGTTTAGTAAAATTTACTGATTACAATTTAAAAATTTACAAACACTATTAACTTGAATGTTAATAAAAAAAATGCAACGAATTGATACCAAAAATGTGTATCAAATCATAATAATGATCGAAATTTTTTTGTTTCAAAATCGTAGATTAATCGTAATTTGATTAAAATTTATAAATCAAAAATCCGCAAAGTTTTTAAAGACGAAAACAAAAAAATAATGCTACAATTTATTTTATTTCATCAAAATTTCTTGTATAAAAAATTTAGACTACACTTTTTCTAAGGATTATTTAATTATTTTCTTACTTTTTTGCAGCGAATTTCAATTATTTTTAATATAATTTAAAATCAGGTCCTCGAGAAAAGTAATAATTTTTAAAAATTTTATTAAAAGTCTTCGAAAGAAATGAATTATTTTCAAAAATTTCGCTAAATTTCTTCATAATAATTTAATTTTAAAAAATAATCAATTATTCTATCAATTATTGTTTATTTTTGCAAAAGATGAATTTCAGTTAAAATTTTAGATAATAATAATTGAATTTTAGAAGAGAAATAATTAATTTATCATCCATTTATGTATCTAAATAAATTTTAAAAGATTTTAAAATTGAAAAATTTAAAATAATTTTTAATTTTGGTAAAACTGTTATATTTAAATATTTATTTTAAAAAATTGTTAATTTATTATTTTCCCAAAAAATTATTAAAATTTTGAATAATTTTATTTAAAATTTAAAAAAAAATTGATTTTAAAAATCTTTAAAATCTTTAAAAATTTTATTTTAAAGAAGAAGTAATTTTCAGGAATAGTTAAATTTTAAACAGATTTTACATTAAAATTATTTGAAATTTTCATTCATGTATAAAAATAAATAAGAATAAGTTATTTTAAGTATTTAAATATTTCTATAACAAAAATTATTAAATTTTTTAAAAATTAAAGTTAGAAGTTATGAAAAAAATGAGTCTTTTGAGAAATTGTGATTAAAATTTTTTAAACATATTTAAATTCTTGTAAAAATTAAAAATTATAGAAAATTTCCAATTAATTAAAAAATTTTTGAAATTTAGTTGAAATAAATTTTATATGTTAAGAAATAAAATTTTGTTAAAATTCTAACTAAGAAATTGGAAAATAATGGAATTTTAGAAAAATTTAGAATTTAAGTTAATATTTTTTATTTGTCAAAGTAATTATATTTTAGAAATAAAATAAAAATTTAGTATTTTTTGATTTGCTGTAAAACTTCAAAGTTGTTAAAGACGAAAACAAAAAAATAATGCTAATTATAAATTAAATAATCCTTTGAAAAAGTCCTCGAGAAATGTAATTATTTTTAAAAATTTTATTAAAATTCTTCGAAAGAAATGAATTATTTTCAAAAATTTTGCTAAATTTCTTCGTAATAATTTAATTTTAAAAAATAATCAATTATTCTAACAATTGTTTATTTTTCCAAATGATGAATTTCAGTTAAAATTTTAGATAATAATAATTGAATTTTAGAAGAGAAATAATTAAATTTTGAAAGAGATTTTTAAATATTGAAATGTTTGAAAATATTTATTTTGGTAAAACTGTTAAAATATTTAAATATTTATTTTTAAAAATTGTTAATTTATTATTTTCCCAAAAAATTATTTACATTTAAAACAATTTTATTTAAAAATTTTAAAAAATTATTGATTTTGAGAAGAAGTAATTTTCAGGAATAGTTAAACTTTAAACAGCTTTTGCACTAAAATTACTTGAAATTTCAATTCCTTGTGGAAAAATAAATAAGAATAAGTATTTAAATATTTATATAACAAATTATTATTACTTAAACTTTTTGAAAATTAAATTTATAAGTTATGAAAAAAGTGAGGCTTCTGAAAAATTGTTAGGATTAAAATCTTTTGAAGATAATTAAATTCTTATGTAAAAATTTTAATTAATGAAATAAAATTTCCAATTAACTTGAAATTCCTTCAAAAGTTAAAATAAATTTTATATCTTAAAAAATTTTATTTTTTATTTTCAAAAATTATTTTTAAATATATAATCGTGTATTGTGTGAAAATTCTAACTAAGAAATTGGAAAATAATTGAAGTTTAGAAAAATTTTGAATTTAAGTTAATATTTTTTATTTTTCAAAGTAAATATATTTTAGAAAATAAATGCAAATTTATCATTTTTTGATTTATTATAAAACTGCAAAGTTATTGAAGACAAAAATAAAAAATGTTTCTTCATAAAATTTTAATTTTAAATATATAATTGTGTATTTTGAGAAAATTCTAACTAAGAAGTTGGAAAATAATTGAATTTTAGAAAAATTTAGAATTTAAGTTAATATTTATTTATTTTTCAAAGTAAATATATTTTAAAAAATAAATGCAAATTTAGCATTTTTTTTGATTTATTATAAAACTGCAAAGTTGTTGAAGAAGAAAACAAACAAATAATCCTACAATTTTTTTTATTTTATCAAAATTTGTTGTAACAAAAATTTAGACCACAGTTTTCCTAAGGATATGGATACCAAATTGAGATAAGAAATGAATTAAAAATGTTGCGAAGATTTCTATAATATTCTTACAACTTTCTTAGGACAACCGTTTAGAGAAATTTTTTTTTTTTTTTTTTTTTGGACAAAACACCAAAATAACTTTCGAAGCCGGAGATTCGGCAAAAGTTTTAACGTTTCATCACACAAACACACCGTCGAAAAAAAGAAAACATTTAGCATCGACTATATTTTGCATAAATTATTTCACATCACAGGAATCATTACCTAATATAATGATGTCGGAGTCACCTGTGCTACAAGAAAGAAAAAAGGCAAACGTTCCGGAAATATGGGTTACATATGTAAATTCCGATAAAATGGTCCCATATGTAATCGGCATATATATATATATATATACAAATAAAAAGAAAAAAAAAGTGAAAAAGAAGAAAAAAAAAAGAAAAAAGGGGGAAATGGTTTGGGACCATGTTCGGTGACCATGGTTACCACATAGGCAGAAATGGAAGGTGTGTGCACAGGTAACAGGCAGGAAGAGAATATACTTTCACTGCCAAAGCACAACGGAGTCTTCGAGAAAGACGAGAAAGAAACCGAGTTGGCTTTAGAGACAGTCGTTGGGGTATCGGCACAGTTTGCTATCATTCCTTCCTTCGACCGGTGCAACCCAGCAATCAATCCATTTCACCCCTGCCGGCTAATCACGCCACCTTGCCCCGTCAATCATCAAAGGAATTCAAATTCTCCATAAAATGCCATCTTATCCAAATTATTCCAATTCTCTCCGACTATTTTCCAAATTTTTCTAGATTCATTCGGAAAAAAGAAAAAAAAGGAGAAAAACAAGAAAAAAAAAGAAAAACCAGAAAATATAGAAAAACATCCCACTCATTATAGCGATTAATTTTTTTTCCTTCGTCGTATTTTTCGAAAAGAATTCAAATCTAAAAATCACGATTAGGAGCCTGGCAAAAAGAAGAATGTGACTAGTGATAAAAATAAAGTGTATTTTTTTTTTAAGTGAAGAGTTCCTAATTCACGAAAAATTATTAATGTCCAAGAAAAAAGGAAAGTGTGAACATCATCAACCGCCTCAGGATTCTGTCAAGGACGTGACAATTTACGGAAGTCGGTCAGGATCGTAGGCCCGTGGAATAGGCGGAAGTGACACTTAAACAATTATTTTACATGGATAAAAGAACTTTTTGAAAAGGTATTTTTTTTCTCTCTTCTAAATAATTGCTGTTCACTAAATTTTTTTTAATTTTCCTTTCATTTTTTTTTTCATGTAGACTCAAGGAGATGAAACATGCAAAGAGATCTTTAATGTCTGCTTATCTAACTGCTTGAATGCCTGTGTAAAGAAAAAACAGAAAATAATTCTTATTTTTAAATTTACAATTCTTTTTTGGATAATTATTGTTTTTTCGGAATTTTTATTTTGAAATCAGAGTTTATCAAAGGGTAGCAAATTGAGACAAAAAACAAATCAAAATTGTTGCGATGCAACAATTTTGATTTGTTTTTTGGTCTCAATTTGATAGCTGCAGAAAAAGTGTGATTTACATCTGTATTTTCTAATTGGAAAATATTTTATAAATAATCTTTAGGGAGTGGGAAATTTTGCTTCTATAAACACATTTCTAAAAAAAAATTGTAGTCTCGTGTCAATTAAACTGTAAAAAAGTATAATTTTCTTCTATTTATTATTGATTTTAATCTTAATATCTTTAAAATTTTCAAAAATTACTATGCTGAATGGAAAAATAATAATATGTAAATTCAACTCTCTAAATTTGAATTAGTAAAAATGTTTACTAATTGGAATAAATGACACAATTTTGATTTTTAATTATTAAATTTACTAATAAATTAGTAGAAATTACTGTTTATTGGTAAATTTACTAATATATTAGTAGAAATTACTATTTATTATTAAATTTTACTAATAAATTAGTAGAAATTACTATTATTTATCAGTCAAATTTATTAATATAAAAGTAAAAATTCAGTCACTAATTCAAATTAGTCTCTAAATTTGAATTATTAAAAATGTTTACTAATTGGAATAAATGACACAATTTTGATTTTTAATTACTAAATTTCACTAATAAATTAGTAGAAATTACTATTTATAAATAAATTTAAATAATATATTAGTAGAAATTACTATTTATTATTAAATTTTACTAATAAATTAGTAGAAATTACTATTATTTATCAGTCAAATTTATTAATATAAAAGTAAAAATTCAGTCACTAATTCAAATTAGTCTCTAAATTTGAATTAGTAAAAATGTTTACTAATTGGAATAAATGACACAATTTTGATTTTTAATTACTAAATTTCACTAATAAATTAGTAGAAATTACTATTTATAAATAAATTTAAATAATATATTAGTAGAAATTACTATTTATTATTAAATTTTACTAATAAATTAGTAGAAATTACTTTTTATTAGTCAAATTAATTAATTTTAAAGCAAAAATTTAGTCAATTATAGAATTAGTCAATTTTACTAATATATTAGTAGAAATTACTATTCATAAGTAAATGCATTAGTAGGAATTACTATTTATTAATAAATTTTACTAATAAATTAGTAGAAATTACTATTATTTATCAGTAAAATTTACTAATTTAAAGGTAAAAATTCAGTCACTAATTCAAATTACTCTCTAAATTTGAATTAGTAAAAATGTTTATTAATTTTAATTAATGACTGACTATTTGTAATTGAATTAACAAATTTTACTAATGAATAGTAATTTCTACTAATTTATTAATAAAATTTACTAATTTAAAAGCAAAAAGTCAGTCACTAGTTCAAATTACTCTAAATTTAAATTAGAATTTCACTAATGAATTAGTAGAAATTAATATTTACTGTAATTTATTATTATATACTATTTATTGAAATTACTATTTATTAAGTAAATTTTACTAATATATTAGTAGAAATTACTATTTATTAGTTAAATGTACTAACAAATTAGTATAGATTACTATTTATGAAGTAAATTTTACTAATTTATTAGTAGAAATTAGTATTTATTAGTAAAATTTACTAATAAATTAGTAGAAATTACTATGTATTAGTCAAATTTACTAATTTAAAAGCAAAAATTCAGTCAGAGAGTAATTCAAATTACTCTCTAAATTTGAATTAGTAAAAATGTTTATTAGTTTACTAGACTGACTTTTTGCGTTTGAATTAGAAAATTTTATTTATAAATTCGTAGAAAGTACTATTTATTAGTGAAATTTACCAAGTCAATAAATTAGTAAACATTTTTACTAATTTAGGGAGAATATAGACTTTGTTAATATCCCAATGGGAAGTAAACGATTGGTTCAATAATGGGCCATGCTTGGCGAACTCCGTTCCATTATTGGAACATTAATGGCAACCATCATTGGACCACCAATGGTTTAAACTTGGGATGATCACGCTACTGCCAATGATCGGTAGCCAAGCATCGGGCCAATATTAGTTGCCAAGGAATTGCCAAGGAGACAAAATCGATTTTCAAAAGCTTGATTTTTTATTGGCAGCCAACAAAAAACCAAGGTTTTGAAAATTGATTTTTTTTAATTATTAATTAAAATTTATTTTTAAAAAATATATTTTTCAAAAATTTATTTTAAAAAAATATATTTTTTAAAAATATATATTTTTTTAAATTAATAGAACATATTAATTTAATTTGTCACCTCTGGTAAAACAAAGATGAAAGACTGATAAATTCCCTCACTTTATATTTTACAGTGGAGGGATAACTGTGAATGTCTTTGCGAGAGAGGAGCAGGTACTTATATAGAGCCAGTGAAACAGGTCACAAGCGAGAAGAAATCACTAGCATGCACTCTGGCGGCGCTTGTCGGAACTGTTTTCTGGCGCGCATGCATATCCTGACATTATCGACGCAGCGCTTGGCAACCAACGTTGCGCCACTTCCGACATGCGCCGCCAGAGTGCATGCTAGTGATTTGTTCTCGCTTGTGACCTTTCTCACTGGCTCTATATAAGTACCTGCTCCTCTCTCGCAAAGACATTCACAGTCATCCCTCCACTGTAAGATATAAAGTGAGGGAATTTATCAGTCTTTCATCTTTGTTTTACCAGAGGTGACAAATTAAATTAATATGTTCTATTAATTTAAAAAAATATATATTTTTGAAAAATATATTTTTTTAAAATTAATTTTTGAAAAATATATTTTTTAAAAATAAATTTTAATTAATAATTAAAAAAAATCAATTTTCAAAACCTTGGTTTTTTGTTGGCTGCCAATAAAAAATCAAGCTTTTGAAAATCGATTTTGTCTCCTTGGCAATTCCTTGGCAACTAATATTGGCCCGATGCTTGGCTACCGATCATTGGCAGTAGCGTGATCATCCCAAGTTTAAACCATTGGTGGTCCAATGATGGTTGCCAATTGTTTTGCCAAGAAAAAACCATTGGGTACCAAGCATGGCCCATTATTGAACCAATCGTTAACATTGGCAACTTCCCGTTGGGATGTCGCTAAAATTTTGAACGTTCGAATGAACGCCAATATTTTTGTAACTATTTCCAAACTCGCAGAGAAAAATTTTATTTAAACCAAATATAATTTATTTGAGTTAAATATAAAAGTATATTTGTCCCAGAGACAACTAAATTATTCATTTGTTATTAAATACAAATTTTAGACGAAATAAATAAAACTTTTATTTAAATCAAATGAATCTTTATTTAAGTCAAATAAAATTTTAATTAAAACAAATAAAATTTATTTGAAACAAATAAAATATCCAGTTAACTCTGAGTCAAATGTATATCTTTTTTCTGGGTGAAAATTGTATTTTATTAAAAAATAAATTAGTTTGTATATTAAAAAAAGTAATTGTCAACAAAGTAAATGTTCATATAAAGGAAATTCACCTTTTATTTTTCAAATTAAAATTTTATTATTACAATGAAAAAAAACATTATTCACGTTTTGGAAAATAAATTACAAAGTTTCAAAGTCTTTAATTCAAATTTTGAAGTTCTATTACAATCAGTAATTTCTGAAAATACTTAAAGTGAAAAAATATTTCCTTTGCTTGAACCTTTCAAATTTTTCAAAAACAAACAAAATTTCAGAAAATAGAAACTAAATTTAAAAAAAAATGCCCCTAAAGTTTCGAACGTTCAAATAAAGGACGATATTTTCAATATTCTTTTTTTATTTAAAATTTTATTAGAAGAAATTTCTTTTATTCAAAAAATTAATTTTTAACTAAATAAATGTTAATTTACAATATTTTTCACTTCAGTTTACAGTAATTTTCCACACTGAAAAAAAATGTTATTTTATTCAAATAACATATTACTTGACTATTGTCGCAATTAAATATTTACTTGAATTAAATTATTTTTATTTAATTCAATTAAATGATATTTAAACCAATAATTTCAGTATTTAAAGCAAATATGAATTGAACCATTTCACTGACTCAAATAAAAATTATTTGATTGAAATAAATATTTAATTGATCGGTAATCGGTTATTTGAATCAAATAAAATTTTTTTTCAGTATAAAAATATTGGAGTATAAAAAATATTTATTTCCTTTTAAACGTTCAACTTTAGATGAATTAAAATAAAAGCAAAATTTCAGATTTACATGAAAAAAGAAAAAAAAATATACAATCAACCAGGAAGAACCATAAAAAATAAAATCCGAAATTTGCGAATACGTAAACGTTTAGAAAGTAACAAATGTTTCCTCCTAAATTTGCATTAAAAACGATCACTTTAAGTTGAAAATTGGTGCAATCAATCACCTGTGTAGCAGACCTGAACCATAATTAATCACACACATAACTACAAATACGAATGGTATGCGAATTTAATATAATGAAAAAGAAAAGAAGAAGCGAACAAGAATTAAACAAATCACAATATTTGTCAAAATAGACACAGTTGAATATTCATAACAAGTATATGTGACAAATAAACTTTTCAAATTTCTCTATAGAAAAAAAATCTCTATTTAATAAAAATATAAGTTTCACACCCAGAGAAAAGTTGTATTTAAATCAAATATATTTTATTTGACTCAAAAAAACGTATATTTGCCTCAGAGGCAATTAGGTTATTTATTTGTTTGAAATAAAAATTTTATTCGATATAAGTAGAAATTTTATTTGAACCAAAGAAAATTCTATTTGAACAAAA